TTCTGAACAACCTTTGGCTTCAGTTTCCTTTGTCTTATCAGATTTGACTGGATTAGTTCTTATTTTATATCCAGAGATATAAAATACTTCCTTTTAAAGTAACTATTTTCTACATAATTACTTCCTCAGTGAGGAAGGTCTTAATAGTTTGGAATTTTTCGAGACTTTTGGAAAACCATCATTTCCAAAATGTGATTTTATGTTACAGATACCACAGAAACAAATTAGTCTCAAAACAACTTTGAACTGATCTTAAACTAATCCTTCCATTTCTCTAATTCAGAATGATTAAGTGTGTGTCCCAGAGTCTTGAATTGCTTTATAATCCTGTTTTTCAGTGGTGATAATGCTGCACTTTCAGTCTTGTAGTCACAGGCCACTTGATTAGCATGATAGAAAGTGTCAGCCTGTGAGCAGGTATGGAGAAGGTACTAAAGGATTTTTTTTAAGAAGAAGAAATGGGCTTTTGATAATAACTTTTGCTGGACAGATGGGAAGGGAAATACTTGCAGCTTGCAGGAAGAAAGAGCAAATGAGGAGATGGAAAATGAAGAAGAGAAATGGTTACAGAAGACATCTTGGAAAAATGACAGCTGTTGCAGTTGACAGCACTGGGGAGAAGATGAGGGAAGAAGGATAAGGATGAGAAGATGAGGGAAGAAGGATAGAAAAACAGGAGGAGGTAGCTATGGTAACCTGTCTGAGTGACTCAAACCAGAAAATGGATTAACCTCTCGAGTTCAGCACAGCTCACAAAGCAACATGGATAGCCTTTAATTCCTCCTAGCAAGGGCTGTAGCTGGTGTGTTCAGACGCGTTCACGTGTCATCACGATGATTCTCCCTTCTCCGTAGAACGAGACACCTTAACTTGGAAACATGCTTCCCCCAGCCAGTCCTTACGGGCAGATGTGCTGCGGTGATGCGTCAACACGTGTCCTGTGCTGGCCGTGTTTCCTTCCCACACGGCTGTAATGCGAGCTCTGCATGTAAAAATTTCTGGTTTACTCTTATGCTGAAGGATAACGTAAGCGATATGGGGGTGCTGTTAAACATGGCATATGTTGTTGCTGTGAGCTCCTTACCAGTTTGGTTGGTGAAGAGTGACTTGTTTCCTCAGAAGGCTCCTTGTGCAGGGTGTATCGCTTGGTCACGGAGAAAGTCTTCAGAAGACTTATGACAAGACATACTAATAAAAAATCCCAAAATGTAACTGTTGGCATCCGGCCTTACAGTTCAGTGTGGGAACTTCTCTTTCCCAGAGGATGGAGGGAGTGTAACCTCATGTACAGCACCTCTTTACATGCACAAACATAAATAATGAGTTAGTTCGTGTCTTGTTGGAAGTATCAATCCTTGGCTCTATTCCACTTTTGCTGTTTTCTTTATGAAAAAAAACAAATGCGTGTGGCCGTAAGTTAAATTTACGTTATAAATATGCACGATTAAAATCGACGCAACGTGCCAAAATTGTCCCAGCAGGGGAATTTGGAGAACCCAAATTTATTACTGTGGCTCCTTGATTCTTCTGCTCCTCAGGCTCCAACCACAGCTCTGGCCAAAACCAAGCTGGAACGGAGCAGAGCATTTCTCTACATGATCAGGTACATGGCGCCCAAGGGGAACAGCTGGCAGAGTCGCTGGTGCCGCTGGCTTTGTACCAGGGACAAATTCCACTCTGATGGGAAAATTATGCGCCCAACGGTGCTGCCCTTCTGCAGCCTGGGATTGGGTCCCGGGACATTCAGAGTGGTGGGAATGGTAACAGGGGTGAGCTACTCTGAGAACTGCTAACGTGCCCATTGTACCAGATCTTCAGGTTGAATAAGACCCTAAAACAGGCTTTTAATGCTCGATTGAGATTTTTCCTGTCTCAGGGGTATCTGCAGTGCTGGGCACACGTAATGCATCTTGCTGTGCTCATTTGCAGCTTGAATGGCTTGCGGGGGTCAGCGGCAGAGAGCAGGCTTTTTCACCCCTTGAGCGGTGAAGCATTGAGTGAAAGTTATTACTACCAATTAGTGGTGGCATTATTATTACCAATTAGTGGCTGTATGAAGCAAATCATTAGTCTTCGTGCAGTTATTAGCAGCCAGGTGTTGATGAAACGTGCCATGTGCAGCGAGCGTTGTACCTCGGCAATCGCCGTCGAGGTCAGTCACTGAATTTGTGACGTCCCTTTGCTGTCACAACAGGGGTTTTGTTGTGTGTCCCTCAAAAAAGAATCACAGAATCATAGAAGTGTGTTTGGAGTCAGCGAGGAAGGGTCTTTTGTTGCTTCCAGGGTTGTGTACCTACTGAGTGAATAAATAAATAAGCCAATTTCCGTTTCTGGACCCATATTATGACACCTTTGATATACTGAATTCATATGTAAAAAACAGAAATGAGATTTCCAGTTTTGTTACTTGTTGCTACTTCATTTTTAAGAGCAAAACTGTTGTGTCAGAGAGGGGAAAGTAATGGTGCAATTTGCTCCTAATCGAAAGTCTCGTTTCTTTAGGACTCCTGCTCTTGAAACCCTCAGTACACAGTATTTTCACATACACATTAGTTTTGCATAATGACTTCACGCTAGACATTTTAGACAGCAAGTAGCATGAATTATTTTCTTCTTAAGAAATATACTGCTATAAGTTAACAAATTCTTTATTTAATGGGAAGAAAATGGAATTATATCTGTAGCATTATGTCTGTATTGAACTACGTATTTAACTTCGGTGCGTTTTGCAGAGGGATTCATAGCTATATAACTATATAGAATAATAAAACAAGAAAAATAATAAAATTCTGATACGGCAAATACTTATTGCATAAAGTTAGCTTTACTTGTGTAACTAGAATAGGCATTAGAAAGATTTTCATGTTTCTTGGAGTAATGAGGAGGGGCTTGGAGTGCTATTTTCTCTTTCCGCGGTTCAGATGTCTTTGATTTTCAGTATTAGTGAAGAAAGGATTTGAGCGACAGCTTCTCTGAGGAGGGTTTAAAGCAGATGAAATGAGAATGGCAGAGGTGGGGTGGGTTTAAAGCAGAAGTGGGGATGATGGGGTGGGGTGGTCTCCAGCACTGGGTGGGTGGGGACATCTGGTGGTGCCATGAAGGAATCATGGAATATACAGCTGGAAATGCAGTTGCATTGGAGCGATTCAGGCAAAAATATCATTGTGCTCATACCAGAATTACTTTTTTGTTTTGATATTATTCTAGAAACACTCACCTGCAGTTTGTGTGTGATTTTAATTTCCTGGAAAGGAAAAGTAGAAACTAAGGCCCTATTCCTGAGCTGGCAGCTTGCAGGTGTAACGTGTCAAATGCAAAAGGCATTTAACCTACAGTCAGTTGTAGATTTAAAATCAAACTTGTGATACCAGGCTGTGGTTCTGTGGATAAAGAGGGTGTTTGTTCTGCCAGTGATTTGCTGTGATCTCTGAGCAAAGCTGATTTCATTTGTTTCAGTCCATCACTCACCAGTTGCTTAATACATCTTTCTGTCCATCGTTCTATAAAAGTGCTATGATAATTTTCAATTTCTGAATTCCATAGGCAGAAAATCATAAAAAGTAAAACGTTTAAATATCTTTAGTTTCAAAGTTCTGTATTAATTACAGTGACCAATTTTATTTATATGGTCACATATCCGTGACCAATATTTTGAGCGCAGTCGTGTTAAAAGAGAAACTCTTCAGGATTAATTTTCTGGTGCTGTGTGCAATTGTGCCTAATACTTATTTAGCACCGTGCACATGGTGACAAAAGAAAGTCCTTGGGAACATACCTGTTGAAGGCCATACGCTTGGGAGGAGTTTCCCAGGACGATTTATTGATGTGATGTCTTCCCAACACCACAGTGGACGCTTGCCTGCCAGGACAAAGCAAGACTTTCTTGATCTGTGAACATCTTCCAACTCATTGTGTCCTTCTTGCTGCTGGTGTGTATCCAGCCACGTTGGCCACGCATGGCGCCTTTTTGGGTGGTACCACGAGCTCTCAGGATGGTGGGGGCACGGGTGTTCCAGGGAGAACTTGGTCTCCGCAGGCAAAGGATTGTGCTCATCTGCTCCTGCTTACAAAGCTTTTGCGACTGCTGTCCTGTTTTCCTTTAGAGTAGATGTGTTCTTGAAATGATGGTGTTGCTAAGTTATTACTTTGTGCTTCATGTATCTTGTCAATAATGCATTTTTACCATGGTGTATTCCCCGTGCAATATGATAAAAAGGGGGAAAAAAATGAACACAAGTATCTGCTGTGTACTTGCTACCAACATGACACCGAGAAGTCTTCTGGGAAGAATCTTTAGCAACTGCAAGTTTCAGCTCCTTGCCTTGAACGCTGGACAGAAAAATGTCAATAACCTAAATCTTTCACAGCCAGTTTTGGACTTTCTACTGTGGTCATTATTCACACAAGGAACCCTGTAGTCTGTAAGGAAGAATGTATATAATCAAACTCAGAATCAGAACAACCACTACTTAATTGAAAAACTGGGGCTTTCAGCTTGGGAGACTTCTTAAAGTCACGAGCTGCAGAGATTGGCACAAAGTAGACCAATTTGTCTCAAAGTCAGAACAACTGTTCCCTGCAGCTCTTCACAAGAGGGTGGGTATTTTATTGAGGTCCAACCCTCCTTTCTCCTCTTGCAGTAACATTTATATTTTGTAAAACTCATCATGTCTTCTTCTCCATAAAGCAACAATTCTTTGTCTTATGAAGTATTCCCTTGTCACCCCAGTGGTTCTGTCACCATCCTTTAAAAATTTCTCCACTCTTGGTTTGGATAAAAGAGAGCAGTGCTGGCATTTGTGTGCTGTACCCTTTGTTTCTGAGATGTCCCAAGGCCGTGGTGACAACTCAGAAACTCAGAGATAGCCACAGAAGTTGTTACAGATGCCATTAATGAGAAGCCGGTGTTTATGCACAGCCCTTCTGCTCAATATTTAATGTATAACACTTTGTATTGAAGGCAGCCCATTATAGAAAAAAATGTTGGTTTTATGTTTCAGGTGCAAAGATGGATTGAAAGGATTTACATACTCTGCGCTGAAGTAAGTAATGTTTCTGTGAGTGTGTAGCTGCATTGTGTGTAAAGAGTGTTCTTAAGAAAAATCATGCTGTTGTAAAACCTTTCCAACTTTTGGGGTGTACAGCATCCGTTGAAGAAGGCATAATATGCTAGCAAGAGAGGAATCTTTTCGTATTTGGGACATTTGTTAAAGGAAATGCAGGCATATAGTTGTGTGGTTTTGATGGAACATTAATCTTTTTCTTAAACTGGGATTTGTGATTGCCAGTATTCTTCTGGAAGCAAATGGCTGCTGTGTTTTGGAGTTGGGTTTTTTTGGGAGTTTATTTGCTGCATTTGCAAAATGTTTAATGAATACAACAGCACCTGGGTAAAGCCTGAATTTGTCGCGTGTTCGTTTGAAATATCCCCAACATGCCACTAAACCTTATGTCTGCCATTGTGGTCCAGGCTCTCCTGAAATTTTCTTTGCAATGGGACCTTCTGGTGTTACTCACTCATTTGCTGTAGTTATACAGAGTTCTTCTGGTTTCATGTCTTGTGTTAGAAGCAGGAAGACATGTTATCCTTACCTTTCCCTTACACACTCTGTTTGTCTACCAGTCGGACAGCCCAGTGCATGGATGGTGGCAACTCAAGGTGAAGAAAAGAGATGAAATCAAGCTGTTGTTGGTAGCGGGAAATATTTTATAGAGTTTACAGCTATGAAACAGCCGTGGAATTTGATATAAGTTGCCAATAGTTAAATAATTCAGTCTGTAGTCCAGAAATACGGACATGAAACAGGCCTATGGCACTGCGCAGAGACAGTGCTTTCTGAAATCACCAGTTCACAGTCCCGTGTGGAATGACAAACCTTTTACACCGTCATCTCCCTCAGCAAGACTGCCACAGTGCAGCATAAATTGGATTATAGTGCAAAGTGTTAGGAAACATCTTGCTGTGGTGTCCTCTGTTGTCCTTGATACACAGTAATTCTACACCTAAGATGAACCCCGTTATATTGACACTGTCAACTTCTGGGTGAAGAAAGAAGGCTGAAGATGAAGCCAAGAAAAACAAAGTTGATGCTCTTGGTAGGAGTGAAAACATTTTGAAGATTTTACAAGATATTTTATAAAAACATCATACTAATTGTAGACCTTTGTATAACTCCGTTTTGCTGGAGATAATCGAGATATTCCATGGGCTGTTTTATTTTCCAATTTAGCATTTTTCCTTTGTACGAGAGATGAACTTCCTTAGTAATGTCCTTGTTCCGAGTTTAAAAAAATTCCTGGCAGCAATTGTGACCATTTTCTGAAGTTTAAATATATGTTGATGGATGTTGATCTTTTCAAATAGATACAATGTTTGGCAGCTGTATAGAATTCGTTTTCCTTTGCAGACCTGTGGGTAACTTAAAGCTTCTCTTAAAGACTTAGAGACTTATCTTGGACTTTCATGTATTTCTTTGTTTTACTTATATAATTGCTGTTTCATTCTGTTTTATTTTTTTTTCTTTCAGGTTTATTGTAGGGAGAGAAGAAATCCCCACTCATTCATTTTCACCTGAAGCAGTGTTTTCAAAAGTGGATAGAAAGATAAAGCGTTGTGAAAAAGTATCACAGCCAATGAACATACTGGCTATAACAAAAAAGCTTATGGACAAAATGTGAGTCAAAGAAAGTAAAATAAAGCAAAATGGATCATAGCTCATTTTAATATTTTTTTATGTTGTATTTGATAATGTTTTGTATTACTTGTGCTTTGCATTTAAGTGTTCTGCATCTCGTTTTTACTGGGTAGTTAGCAGTGACAAATGATGAACTCCCATGAGAGCAAAATTTAAGACCTGTATAGCAATGACTTGCAACGTGCAGTTGTCTAACAAGTGAGAGTAAATTCAATTGATTCTGAGTGGAAGAGCCATGGTTCTTTTTTTGGTAGTTTTCAACAAAACCAGCTCATGGCATGGTTCTGCTGGCACTAATAATGATACTGAGGAGAGGAAATTGCACAGCGGCAGACCTGGCTTAGGTCCCCATAAGCGACCATAACATCATGTTTTTTGAGACCTACATCCCTGTAAAGCATGAAAGGAGAGCTGCCTAGAAACAGGATTGACAGCACGGGGCCTGCCTCCACTGTCAAAAAACAGGACACTGCAAAGCAAAGAGTCTAAAACTGTTTTTCATGAGGTCAGAACTAGACATCTGAAGTTGGTGGGTTAGGTTCCCCACCCAGTCTACAGGATCTAGTTTATTGTCCTTTAACATGAGCTTGAAGAAATGATGTCAGATAGCTTTACAGTCTAATAATATTCAGATGATGTACTTCTGCTGTGCTTGACTTGTCCGCTTCAGGTATGTGGGGTATCACAAGGAATCATTTATATACAGGGAAGGTGGAATAAAAAATGGACTAGGAGTCTGTTCATACCACGCCTATGAATCCTCACTTCCATTGGTATCTCCAGGAGTAGTTTTATGACCAGAACTTTACCTGTTGACATGCAGGAGAGAAATGGGTCTTCCAAGTGCATTGTCTTCTCAAAGTACTGGTTTTTCTTCCTTGCTCAGACAGTGAACAAACACGAAGTGACCTCCATTCCTTGGTGACTTCCTATGATCTCCTGTGGTGTTTAATTGAAAAATAAGAGGCACGCCAGCAGTGGCTTTTCAGGCACATCTCTTGGGCAACAAAAGATGTACAAGGAAAGACAGCTGCAGCCATATACAGATACTTTTAGCTGAATTGCTTATACCTATTTTGTCTTAAATACCTCTTATTTGGTTTGCTGGAGATAGTTCACAGCTCTTCTGTTCATTAAATACAAGGAACAGGGGACTGTGGTAGAAGGGCATTTTTTTGTTAAGATTTTGCAACTCCCAAGTCAGACATTCAGAAAACTTTCAATTTTCAGTCCTAATGCTATCACAGTTTTCTCTTCCATATGGTTCTTTTCAGTATAATTGAGTCTAAATGCCTGTAACCTGATCACATTCTCATTACAATTTTTGCTACAAAAACTGACCTCACAGATGATTTATGGCCATTAGACTTTATAGTACACGATTCAATACTTCCAAGATATTTGACACAGTATGTAAACTGTGGAATTTATTTTGCATTAAAACTTAAATACTTGGCTGTAGCAAAATGTGATGTTTAGACCTGGTATGACATTACTTCTTTTAATTCTACATAGTGCAGGGCTAACAAGAGTACAGTCCACATGTCCCACCATCCCAAGCCAGTCTCTTTTAAAAGGTCAACGTCAAATTCTCAGTCTGAAGGAACTACACAGTAGAAGAATTAGCCCAGAAGTGACAGTCTTTTAACTGAGAGAAGTCTCACAGTGTACCTCTCTGCCTTTGCATGTTCTGCCTTGCCCCTCAATGAACCTTACAATGGTATGAAAGATGTAAGGACACGGATAGCGAGTGCTTGGTCAAATATCCTTCGAGAAACAAAGAGCAGAGGTGAATCGGGAAGGGTCACTCACATCTCCCTGTTGGCCACAGCAGAGAATTTGTTCTTTAATTTTGGATTTCTTGTGTAACATGGCAAGGGGCATGATCCAAATAAATGTGCAGACACTTCTTGCTGTACAACTAAAGTATTGTTAGTTTTTATTATCCTTTTATGGCATCGTAAAAGTTCACAGTGCCCTCCAATGGGTAATGGGGAGAATGAGTGGTGGGAAAAAAGCACTTTATGTATTTTTAGGCAAGAAAAATTTATGAAGTCTCCTGTCGGTGACGCTGAAAACAGCTATGAGTTAATAATATGTGTTTTCTTGTGCTTTTTGCAGGTGCGAACATGGCCCAAGGCATAGATGCTGTAAACACTATGGAGATAATTGCATCTCATATTGTATTAAAGTAAGTGCAAAGAAAGTTAGGTTGACAAACTCTGGCAAAGACAGGGTAAAAATATTCAGCCTGAAAAAGCATACGCTTAAGAAGTGAGGAAGGAGGCTGCTACTCATTCGTCTTCTGTTGAAAACGTGACAAGTCTGGAAACAGATTTTCTCAATTTAGGACGGGGTGGTGGTGGGGTTAAAGTTCTCGGCTCTTTCAGATGAGCCGTAGTGAATGAATAACATAAAATGTGTGGGAAAAAAATGGACTAGCGAGTGAGGAAGTCGTTTAACTATGTCATGCACTTCACGGCTGAGCCCACTTGTGGCTCCACCCGAAATCGAGCACCTGGAATGTGGTGGTTGGGCGGGCGGCGTGGCTCCAGCGCACGTGCAGCTGCGCGGGTCTGGCACACTGCTGCTGGCGCGGGGCTCGCTCCTCCCTTCGTTTATTTTAAGGGCTCAGGGTAACGAGAGATTGGACACAGTTGCTGTGCCCAGGAAGAGCTGCTTGTGTCCGGTGGCATAATTCATCCTCCATTATTAGTGTGATCAGCACATTTATTTATTTTTTTTCCGGAGGAGTACTGTGCAGGGATTTTGGCCAGCATTGAGTTGGCACAGGTGGTACCACCTGCCATGGCTGTTTTAGGAGTTGGTAAGGCTCCAGAAGATGCCCATCACTTAATAATTTAACCTTTTTTGTATATGGAGCAGCAAAAACAGATTTGAGTATCTTCAGATATTTTTAATACACATAACTTTCAAAAATAACTTTCTTTAAAATTTTATGTACGTTTTATGTTATCTCAGAAGAGCTTTGCTTAATTTGGCATAAGAAACGATCTAGCACAACATTTATTCATGTATGTTTATGAACGTGATCATTTTGTGTTGACCACTCTTTAACACTGCAGTATGCTAGCGTACCGCTGTGTGACATGGATGTAAGTTGCGCAGGAGCTGACAAGATTTGAGATGGTGCTTAAGTGTTCTGATGAATTACTATGAGAATATGAAGTAGGATATTCACAAATAGTTCAGGATAGTTATGTCACTTTTCTGGGGAACTAGGGTTGTTTAGCCTGGAAAAAAGGAGCCTGAGGGGAGACCTTGTCCCTGTTGACAGCTACCTGAAAGGAGATTTTAGTGAGGTGGGTGTTGGAAAAGACCTCTAACATCATCTAGTCCGACTGTCAACCCAACTTTATCATGACCACTAAACCATGTCCTGAAGTGCCACGTCTACATATATTTTTTGACCCCCTCCAGGGGTGGTGCCTGTGCCACTTCCCTGGGCAGCCTGTTCCAGTGCCTCACCGCTCTTTCAGTAAAGAAATTTTTCCTAATATCTAATCTAAACCTCCCCTAGTGCGACAAGAGCCCCTTTCCTCTTGTGCTATCATTAGTAATTTGAGAGAAGAGACCAACACTCACCTCACTACAGCCTCCTTTCAAGTAGTGATGGGACAAGAGGAAACAGCCTCAAGTTATAGCAGTGGAGGTTTAGGTTGGATTTTAGGAAGAAAAATCTTTGCCAAAAGGGATGTCAAGCAGTGGACCAGGCTGCCCAGGGAAGTGAAGGAGTCACCATCCCTGGAGGTCTTTAAAAGATGTGTAGATGTGGTGCTGAGGGACATGGTTTTGTGGTGGATCTGGCCTTGCCAGGTTAACTGTTGGTCTTGATGATTTTAAAGGTCTTTTTCCAACCTAAATGATCCTATGATTCTGTGACAATCCTCATGCATTCTGTGCTGCATGCTCAGCAGGCAAACCTATACGTACCCTCATAACACAATTTTACAAGCGCCATTAGAACAAAGAGATGAGGATTTTCATTAGAACACTCTGAGTGGAACTGGTGCTTCTTCTGCACGGAGAGCTGTCATAACCTGCCAGCAGCGTGATTGTGTGCCTGTGACTTCACAGGTAAAGAGCGAGATGATCTGACATTTATGGAATATATGAGCTTGAAATGCCTTGAAAACAGAAGAGTGACCAAGAAATAGGAGTTAGTATCAATGAATTACTCTAGTTGAGAGACCCAAATCTGATTCCAGATTGTGAGCTCCTCTGATTACAGTAGACCAGCCCCACACTACTCTGTCCTTTCTTAGGTGAATGGAAAGACATGTTAATGATGAAAAGAACAGGAGGAAAAAAGGGGGGTTACTCAGGAGTCTCTGTCCTCTTCACTTGTTTGTTCAGCATTTTTGTTCACATTTCATAAACCCTTATGAAAGGGATGAGAGAGGACAACCCAACTGCCAGTGGAGCTGAACTAAGGCTTCAACTGACTACAAATAAATTAAAAGGCTTTTAAATTAAAAGGCTTTTATAAGGCTTTTCTCTCTTTAGAGAAACCAATTGTGCGTTTGAACTATACTTCATTCTTGTACCAGTCTTGTATGGTATTTTGGTATAGGTTATTCTAGACTACAATTAGATAATTCAGGAAAATATCACTGAAGTGGCAGCCAGATCTTGGCATTTCATGCCTTTTCTGTGACTCTTATTTAAAGTTAAACCATGAGTGAAAATTTTGAGGGGGATATATTTGGATTTTTAAAGATCCGAAATTCTTATAGCATTTTCAGTTCTCTCTGTGGCTGTTCCTGAAGTTGATAAGTAATAACTGTCAGCTGACATGATTTGAGCATGTATTTGTGATTCCATATCTGTAAGGGAGCTTTCAAATATGATAATGATCTGATGAGCTGCTTATTGCCCAGATTTCCCCCGTGTGCTATATTTTCCCTTAACCTTGAACATTTTGCCTTCTCATTGTCATATCTATGCTTTGTTATTGCATGCTTTTTTTCCTTCTGTTTTATATTTAACTGCTACTGTACAGCCAGAACAGATTTTAAATATCTTAACTGATTAATTTTAAGTATCTTAACTATTTCCTAATATATTGCAGCAGGTTGGCTGAGTTTGGTATGTTACTGAACCCTGTGGGCACACACATGCTTTTCTGAATTTGGATTATAGCCAATATCTTGAATGTATTATTAACTTTTTAAGAAACCTATTTCTCAAAAGGAAAAAAAACCCCAAACAACACAGCTTTATTCAATGAGTTTTGCAGATGTATAGTTTTGCTGTGCTGCTGCTTCTGGCTGATCTGTGTCCCAGCACAAAAATCTCTGTGGAGAAATGGCTCTGGGCGCATTTATGCTTGTTACATTGTCCTGTGTATACTCTATCTTTTCTACCTCTGTTACCATTTGAGTTCTTTTTATGGAAGAGAAAACTTACAGTATTGTGCATTGATTATAAGTTGTAACACTTCCTATGACTCTGGAAAAAACCTGTAAGTGTGGTGTGGATTCATCTGGTTGACATGAGCTGACCAGAAGGTTTTTGTGCAATACTTACTGCTATGTGGTGCACATCAAAACTAAGCCTTAGTCTTTCAGTTCAGCGCTTTAAGTAGGGTAGTCATAAAAATAAAATCACAGATAAATTTGAGTGTTTCCAGTTGAAATTTAAATGTTTCCTAATGCAAGTGTTCCTCACCCCATCAGAGTAACCTTTCCTACAGCTGAGTGAAAAAGTCAGACATGTGGTACTGTTGTGTGTTCTCTGGTTTGGGACTTTGTTCATAACTGCTAGTTTTAGGACTTTCATTTTATATAATACTGCCTGGTATCACAATCCTTTTATTTTTTTTGGAAGACAAGGGCTGTGTACTTCACACTCAGGTACCTCTTCCTTTTAGAGGCGAATATACATTCATCGCAATTTTGTTGACATTTTTAACTACACAAAATTGACTGCGTTCACATCTCTGCCTTGCATATGTTTCGGTAGGTATTTTCATTGCACAGTCAGAAAACACTGAGTCATTAGCTCTTCAGTATGTAGAATTTACATACCTTTAAGAGCAGCAGAGTAAGAATTGGAAACTTTTAGTCCATAGCTACTGGTTCACTGGATGACACAATATATTTTCTTCCACTTGATTCTCATAGACCACTTCTTGAGTAGCAGGGAGAGTAATAGCTTCGGGAAGAGTTTATTACTGAATGTTTAACCATAATAAAATTTTATGAGCTCTGTGATGCATTAGAAAGTTCTGACAGAAGGAAAAATGTTTTGAGTTTCTGAGTTTGAAAGGTTGCTCCATTGAACCCTCTACCAGTTATTGCTGGAACTGGAATTGTCTCAGTGTCCCTGACTATCTTCCAAGAAGTGAACTGCAGAAATCATGAGTACTGGGTGCTTGCCTTATTTGCCAAGGGTGAATGCACAGATAGTTTTCAGATAAAGCATCTTCCAAACAAAAGAAAGGGATAGGTTTTATTCAGAATTACTAGAGAAGTTCAGCCATAGGGTAAGAATAATGTTAGGAAGCTGTGAAGGAAGTTACAAGAAATTGGGGAGAAGAATTTGGAAAGAGAATCTCAGTGTGGTTTTGTGACATAGTATAAAAAAATAGATCTGTATCCAAGGTGCAGTAATAAGAATAACTCATTGGAATTCGTTGGAACGCGTGTTATCCTTTCTCAGTAGCTCTGCACGTAATCTCCTTTCCAGTTTTGCCGTTTGTCTCGCTGCAGGCGTCACTCAGCCTCCAGTTGGGTTGGGAGAAAGTCCGTGAGCATGAGCCAAGCCATCAGGGTCAGTTTCTAATTCTCACACTTTCTGAAATTTAGTTTTTGTGGACATTTTCCTCTTTTAGTGCGTTCTCCAGACATTTGAGCGTAGAAGTGCTCTTTTTTTCCACCACATTACTTTCCTCTATATACCAATTTGTGGTTAAAAGCTGGTCAGTAACCTGGAAATGAAGTCATCAGGTTTATTTCGAAGGACAGAATTTTGGAACAGAAGAGGTTTAGAGTTTGTCCCTTGGGGCCTTTAAGATATTCACAGAAATTAAAGGAGAGTAAATTGTCTCTGATTTTATCACCTTTGCTATTTTACAGGGGAATCAGGAGGAAAAAAAGGGTCTTGACCTTGAAGATGGGAATGCATTTTCCTTAGTATCTGCGAAGCAGGTTTTAAGCCACTCAGTGTAGAAAATAAGTACTTCTATAGATGTTTTTACTTTTCGTTTTTCTGAATGTGTCTTTTGACCCCAAAATCTTTCTTTCTTTTCTCTAGGGCTTCGTTAGGATGTTTAGCATCGGTTACCTGATCCAGTGTTGCCTTCGGATTCCATCCACCTTCCGGCATCTGTTTACAGAACCATCCCGGCTACTTTCCCTCTTCTACAACAAGGAGAATTTCCAGCTTGGAGCTTTTCTGGGATCTTTCGTTAGTATATACAAAGTAAGCTTGTAACATACAGTAGTGATGAACGCAGTATTCCATGTGTTCTTTCCTATAATTTCTGAATAAACCAGATGGATTTTGCAGCACAGTATCAAGATCAGGAGATAGGCAGCACTTTAGAGACAGCCAATTCAGATTTCAAAGGGACTTGCTGTTACACGAGAACATTTTAGTGCAAATGCAAGTAGTGACTGCAGTAGCAGCAGTGTTGCCAGAGAAAAGCCATTTCCAGATTTTTTTGGCTCAAATATCCGGAATTCTTACTTGATGCTAAATAGCAGGAGATTGGAGAACATAATATCATGTGCAGCTGAGGAGACATTGCACTTACACATGAAAATCTACCCTTCGACACTGTTATAAGATGACAGATTGCAAACTGATACACATTCATACAACATTGTTGGAATTAATCTAATTATGTTTACTTATGCCAAGAGAGAATGTGACAAAGCACACACCCTAAGGGAAAGTATATTGTGTAGTGCAGTGCTGACGTGGCTTTAGCACTTTTTTGTTCTTAGTCACACATGTCATTTTTCAACTGCCACTTCACTTTGCAGAGTTAAGATAGTTTGGTATTATTCAGGATTAATATCACTTACTGATAATTAAAAAAGCAAGTGTAATTTGTAAGCAAAACAGCATTTCACTTGACCCAGTCAGATTGGGAGACAAGAATTTGTAAGGTTAGAGAGTTTAAAGTTTTTGATGGCAAGGTGAAAATGGGCTGCTCAGAGTTCGTTTGCAAACTAAGTTTTTGCTCAGACTTTAAGAAAAGAGCCTTTAGAGAAAACAAAAAATATTTAAATTGCAAAAGCTTTGATGATTTTGATGTCTTTTAAAAGCTCCAACTGCAAGGTGTAGTTTAGTTCTAGACATACTCATTTTATGAGGGTCACATGTTTACACTTCATTGTACTTGGCATATACGTTTGAGGCTGCACCTCGAATCTTGTGTTCGGTTTTGGGCCCTCATGAGAAGAAAGACACTGAAGTGCCTGAGCATGTCCAAAGAAGGGCTGGTGAAGAGTCTGGAGAACAAGTCTTATGAGGAGCAGCTGAGGGAACTGGGTTGTTTAGCTTGGAGAAGAGGAGGCTGAGGGGAGACCTTCTCACTCTCCACAACTATATAAAAGGATGTTGTAGTGAGGAGGGGGTTGTCTCTTCTCCCAAGTAAAAAACAATAGGATGAGGGGAAATGGGCTCAAGTTGCACCAGGGGGATTAGGCTGGATGTTAGAAAAAGATTCTTCATGGAAAGAGGGGTGAAACATTGGAACAGGCTGCCCAGGGAAGTGGTGGAGTCACCATCCCTAGAGGTATTCAAAAGACATGTAGACGTGGTACTTTGGGACGTAGTTTAGTGGTGGACCTGGCACTGGTAGGTTAATGGTTGTACTCAATGATCTTATAGGTTTTTTCCAACCTAAAAGATTCTATGATTCTACTTTCTGTTGTTGTTTGTGTTCCATAACTTCCACAGATTTGGGTTGCATCATATTTTTCTTTCAATCTGAAATAAGCGTGTATGGCAGCAGAGATTCTAGTCACTCCAAAAGACTGGGCCACGGGCAAAAGTAAGGAAATGCTTGGTACATTTTGAACCCAAAGGGACTGCATTATGGACTACTTTTAAAATAAGTCCTTTTTGTCCCTAAAAGCAGTCCAAAATGCCATTATAGGATAGTATCATCTGTACTATTAAAATTTCGTGTTCCACTTACTGTTAGTTAACGTCAGTAAACATGGTTTTGGCCATGCTAGCCTGCTTACCTTTTTTTAATTAGTTTAGAAGCTTGACTAGGAAAATTGACTGTCGTAATTGAAGTAATTGTCTTTTAATTTTAATGTATTTTTCAAGAGTGAGTTCATGCGAGGGCTACTGAGATGATTTGAGGACTGGGTCATACAGTGTGTGAGGAGAAACTGGGAGAACTGGGTTTTAAGCTGGAGAGAAAAGGCTCGGGGGAGTTTTTATTGCTACCTACACTTCTTGGAGCTGTGCAGTGGTAGGATGAAAGCTGAAATACAGGAGATTCCAAAGAAATCTAAGGAAACACTTACATCCAGTCTGGCCTGAGCAGCTGTGTATTGTTGTTTGTGTCAACAACAGGTTATTGTGTGTTTCACTGTGTCTTTTAATCATACACCGTTCTAACTTGTTAGATTAGTGTGGTCTCCTGGTTCCAGAATTTATGGGAAAAATCTCCAGGATTTTGGTGTGCAGTTGAAAGCAGACTTTATCATGAGAAAGAGCCTACAGCAAATGAAGGTGCTGTGAATTCAAGATTGATACTCAGATTGGATTGATCTGCTCTCTGATTTTGAAATAAATGGTAGTGAGAACCTGTTAATTGAAACACTGAGACATTTCAGGTACTGTGGATTATAGGTATTACTACATGACACTCTTAATTCATACTATGTGCTGCATTGCTACATTATGGAAGAATATCTCCAGCCAGTGTGTTATGAAAGTGAAGTAACTAGGGCCAACCCTGCTCTCTGTTCACTTGCAGGGCACAAGTTGCTTCCTGCGCTGGGTGCGGAACCTCGACGATGAGCTTCATGCACTTGTAGCTGGTGAGTCCATGACAAGAAGTTTATATCACCTCTGTCTGCAAACTTATCCGTCCCCTCGTTCCTTTTTCAGACTTTTGTCATGAAAACAGGACTGTGTACATCGAGGTTGTGTCCAAGGGGCGGTGGTGTTTCAACTAACTTCAAATAAAGAGTTGCAATTAAAATTGTGAGGCAAATTCCATCAAACGGTTTGGTTTTATAGTTAGCTTCAAGGACAATGTGTTACTGTATACACAAATGTGAACTTGTTCTTTATTTTCCAATCGTAGCGATGCAAGATAAAAATACCGACACTTCCATACGTGACAGAGTACATTTTTGAAAGAGTGGGCTCCACTGGATCCTAAGAAGGACCCTTTTGCCCTGAACATTGTGTGGAGGAGCAAGCCCTTCCCTGCTCTTTGTGCGTCTGTCACATGTTGGAAACTCGGAGGTCTCTCATCCTTGAGGGAGCTGAGCTACAGATATATTTCAGGCTTTCAAAACTGCCTTTTTCTAATGACATAAACCTTATTTTGATGGGGAGCAACAACTTTGTTGTAGCAACAGAAAGCATGATCTTATGCGGTGTCTGCTGAGCTGACATACCGCAACAGCAAGAGTAAATCACAATCTTAGCAGTACTTTTGTTTTCTAATCGTTACAGGATGTCTCGCAGGAATTTCCATGATGTTTTACAAAAGTACCACTATCTCTATGTATCTGGTGTCCAAATTAGTAGAGGTAAGATATTACCCTTGTAAGAGAGTTCTTCATTTTGTCTATTTTTTGGAGGCAGAAAAAGAAAATGAACTTCCCAGGCTTTGTTAGACAATTGTATGGCAGTGCTGTGTTTCTGTACGTGTGTGCCAAGAGGCAGGGCTGGTCTGTGGTCTCCTTTCTTTCTTATTTCCTTTTTTGTGACTCATTTTAAGAAGTCCTTTACCCACTGGTCTCCATGTATATTCTCCGTGAGTTTTTTTTAGTCTCCTGATAGCCCTTTGTTTTGGAGCTTTTGCAGATTTTCTTAAATCTCAAAGTTCCAAGAATGTCTGTTCTGCCAGAAACATAAATCAAAACTAGTCCTTAATTGCAGATTTATTGCCAAAAGCTACAGCTTAACTTCCTGCCTTTGTTCCCTAATTTTGGCATTCAGCAATCTAAGATAACTCAGAATAGCTTAGCTTTTAGTCTATAGCTGAAGTTGTTTGTCAGTGTGCTTCAACTGATTGAATTCTCAGCTTTGCAATGAACTTTGTTCTCATTACAGTTTTTCAGGCCTGATTGATTTCCACGAACTTGGTAAAATCAGGAACCTAGGGGGAAAAAAAAGAGTTTGTAGAGTTTGGGTATGTTGATTATACTTTGGTAATGAGCTTTTGACTTCTCACTGTGCTTTTTTTCCATGAAATCAGGACTTAGTCATGGTTATTTCCCCAGCAGCACCACTGGAATAAGTTGGGAGCATTCTCTTACTATGCCTCATCCCCAAATGACAAAGCTTTCTCCTGCAGACCTCGAGGGCCTCATTCCTTAGTGATACTTACCCACCTCTGTTACCAGAGCACAATTCATTTCAAAGCATTTAAAAAGAAGAATTTTTTTTCTTAAACATAAAATTAAACAGAGAAAGGGGAGATATACTCCGTTTATTCTTGCTTCTTGTAATCCTAGATGAAGCTCTGTAGGTAATTCACGTATCAGTTAAAAAAACAAATCAGAGTTATCCATATTGACTTTTAGAACACCAGTTGTAAAAAACAATATTATCTTGTATTGCTGATGGTTTTCTGTGGACTTTGAGACATTGTGGCTGCAGAGAAATAAGAAAAGTGCTGTGTGTTCTTTCTGTCTTTTTTTTTTTAAGTGTTTTCTTTTTTTTCTTTTTTTTTACTACTTTTATCATCTTACGCAAGCCAAGGGTAACTGACTAGAGGGGCGTGTGCTGCTTTGGAAGGTCAAGCTGTGCTCAGGAAAATAAACTTTACATGTTTTCTCAGAAAGAATAGTATGTGATTTCAAGCTGTTTAAGAACAGTGAATATTCACTTTGTTGGAACGGTTATTGCATTTTTCTTTTGCTTTTTAAAATGAAGAATTTAACGTAGCAAGCTTTCCCTTTTTTTATCTGTAAGATACGTACTACTCTTTTAGCACCCAAGCTGTTGCTAGGTCCTGTTCTATACATTGATACCCTCCTATTCTGTTGATCTGGGATAACTTCTATGAGCTCTCTCAATGTGTCACATTTCTGGACATAGACAAAAATGGTTTAGCATTGGTTAGTAATGTTGACATGTTACTTAGAAAAGGTAAAATAAGAAAAAGATAAAAAGCACCTTTGTTATGGTTTGTTTAGCATTTCTTGTTTATTTTTCCAGACTATATACTTCAAAGGCATTGAAGCAGGAAAGGTTCCCTATTTTCCTCATGCAGACAGCATCATCTATGCCATTTCTACATCAATATGCTTTCAGGCAGTAAGTATGGTGTTTTCTGACAGGATGTGAAGTTCTAGTTTAAGTCGAATGTTGAATGAAATGAGGAGTACAGTGACACAGACAAGGTGTCTGATGTAGGGATTCCAGAAGGATGCTGTGAGCCGGGCCTCCTGCATCCTGCTTTTGAGTGTCACAGTGGGAAGGTCATTTCCAGGACTCAGACTTTTCATATGCTTGTGGCTGAATACGTGATACAAGAATTGAATTATTTGGAAAGGATCTCAAAATGCATTGCCCGAGAAGATGAACATAAACGTATGGGCTTTCATAGGCTTACAAACAGACTGTTTCTCAAGGAGACAAATATTTTATGCTTTTTTAATCAACTAGAAGTTTTCACTTTTGGCTAAGTTTAATTTGAGTTGCCTATTTGAAAAAATCTGCAAAAATCAGTAAGAAAATCTGAAGTTACATGTTTGAAACAAGCTGTAGCTTGTTAATTATATGCCTTTACCCGTGGTTCTTTTATTGCTTTATCAGCTAGAAAAACTCATTTTCAGTGGTACCCGGATTACTCTGCTGTTCCACTACATCCCTCCATTTCTAGACCTTCTGCTGATACATCCCACTGGATGTTTTCTGGACCTTCCTAACTATATGTGCTTTTTATACCCCTCCAATGAAGAAAATATAAAATGACCCTAAAGCAGTCTTCTGCTGTCTCATGCTTAAGAGGACAGTTCCACTCCTCCTCCTTATTGCTCCCATATATTTGGGAATATCTCTCATTCTAGCATCAAAGTGAACTGATATTATGTGGGATGTGCCTGAAGGACTAGCAGCACTGAAATCTCCAAAATAATGTTGGCAAGGACCATCATATGAGACTAACAGAAATAAAGTTAGTATGAGGAAAGAGGAAAGGATTTTTCATTACTTAGTAACTTGTTGGAAAAGGAGCCAAAGACTGGAAATAAATTACTAGGTTTCTGAGGAAGGAAGGAGAAACTAGCTAAGGGATCTGTGCAGAGATGTTTGGTGCTCCCTGTAGTCATAAGCGACCTGGAAAAGTAATGGAATAGAGAGAAGACAAGGATTTTGGTTATATGACATTATTTAAGATATGTTAACATGAAGTATTAAAACTGGCTACGCGAAACGGTGGGTCACAAAATGCAGTGAGTGGGAGATAAAACAGCAGGTAAATTTGGCATCCACGAGTGCAAAATGATGTCTGTAAGAATAATAAGGATTATTGTTGCTTTCTCTGCAGTGAGATCTAGGTTATCTGCCACCACTTGTGAAAGACAGTCTTCTGGAAGGATCAGCTTGTGCTAGTGGTGGTGATGGAGAGCACCAAACTCAGCTGTGGGCGGTTTGTCTGCTGACAGCGCTCGACCTTGGCAGCTGATCCCAGCTGCTTTGGTCCATGAAACATGACAGAATTTAAAAAAAAAAATTGAAAATATCGCTGTATTTTCATAACTCTCACTTGACTGGTTTTGGCAACATAATGTTGATGCAGCTTTCGCCTGATGCTGTCAGCTGGCTCTGACAGAACATTCTCCTTGCAGGCTGTCATGGAAGTTCAGAACCTGAGACCTTCATACTGGAAATTTCTTTTGCGACTAACAAAGGGCAGGTATGTAATGAGGGGTGTGTTGTGACTTGTCTAAACACATCATGGATCACAGTGAGCTTTCTGTTCATTCGCTGTCAGCAGCAGGGCTGTAGGAGTACGTATGGGCTAATTCCCTGAGCGTTCACTTTGCTTTTCAAGCGGTTTCCAGTCTGGTTGAAGGTCTTTGCTGCTGAAGTGACAGTACTAGGCTTAGTCTAATGACAGGAGTAAAGACTTAAATCTGTTTAAGGCTTTAGCAGATGAGAGTTTTACTTGAAGGCTTTTTTGTCTTTAGTTCACTCAAAGGGTGGAATGCTTTAGAATTTCAGTGGAATATGAAGAATCCAGTAAAAGCTACACAGGTTAAAGAAATCACCGTACAGTGATCAGCAGGAGTGGTATTACTACCTGTTTAAAAGCACTACTGGAAATGTCAGAGTATTTCCTAAGAATACTTTGAAGATTGAATAGTTTTTATGAGACATCTATTTACTTGGGAAAGGCTTTTTTTTTTTTTTATGAAAAATTTTCACTGATTATAACCATAATTTTATATTGTAATATCTTACTGGATATTTTTCTCTTATTTGGTGCAGGGATCTAAAATTCTTACCTTTTAAAATAGACTTTGCTGTAACTGATTTACAAAAATTTAATGAAGTGTGCGCTACTATACTTTGGCAGAAACAAAGCGTAGATTAGTTTGTGAATGGGATTGTGTTAGGGAACACTTATTGTGACTGTAACAGGAGAAATGGGATCAGGGGCCAGGCCTGGGAGTGTGTTGAACCGTCCCTGCCCATGACAGAGTACACCCCGAGCTGGGCATGAGGTGACACGGGAAGTTTCATCTAAACATGAGGAAAAACTTCTTTACTGTGAGGGTGACAGAGCCCTGGCACAGGCTGCCCAGGGAGGTTGTGGAGTCTCCTTCTCTGGAGACTTTCAAAACCCGCCTGGACGCGTTCCTGGGTGATGTGCCCATGGCAGCTGGGGTTCGGACCAGATGATCTCTTGAGGTCCCTTCCAGCTCCGACAGCTCTGGGATTCCGTGGCCCCAAACACTGCTGGGCATCGTGAGAATCTTTCCTTGGGCTGCCCGGAGGCAGAATGCAGGCAGCCTCTGAGGCTGGGCAGACACGATGCCGGGGGTGACGTCTGCACTTTGGCTGCATTTTTCCCTCGTGCTAATCCTAAGATTGCTTTAGCTGAAAGAGAGGAGGGAAAAGAATTTCTGTTTTACTGATTTATTTTATGTAAGGTAAATCTTCATAATAGTCATTAGGACACTCTCAGCATGGTGGCAGATTCTTTTGACATTTCACAGGTCTTTCACTCAACAATTTTGAAGACTAAAGAGATGGAAATAGATTGTAGCACCCGTGAAATTGTTATTGGGCAGGCATGGCCAGAGTTTGAGAGGCTGAGTTGAGAAGAATGTGTATTTTGTTTTAGCTTTTATTTGTAAAGTTAAAAGTAGAATGTTACTCTCTCCTTCCCCTTTTCCACAAGTTGTGTTATGTAAAGTATATCTACACAAAGCATTATTAATCGGATTTTTCAATTTTATTTTATTTTTTAAATCTGCATTGAACAAGATTATAGATGTGGTGTTGGGGGATATGATTTGAGGGTGAGCTTATGTAGAGTAGGGTTAAATGGTTGGACTCAATGATCCCAAGGGTCTTTTCCAACCTGAATGATTCTGTGATTCTAAGATGAAAAACTAGTAGGCTCTGAACAGTGCAGGCTGAAGCCTGCATTTCAAAGATTTGGATAGTCTTTCATGAAGTGAAATAATATTGGTAATTTTATAAATAATTTATTATTTTAAAGAATATTTTGGAATAGTTTTATTTTTTCAGAAGTAAAGTAATAATTAGTTCATTCTCTCATGTCTCTTTGTTTTCAGGTTTGCTCTCATGAACAGGAAAGTTTTAGATGTATTTGGTACTGAAGCATCCAAGAACTTCAAGGATTTCACACCTAAGCTTGACCCAAGATACACAGTTGTACCACCAGAGCTACCGCTAGAGCTGTCTTGAAAACAATCGGTTATCTTGCCATTGAATGTGATCCGCCCTTTGTCCTGAAAGGTTAATAAACTTAACAGTCGTGTATATGGAGGAGGGCTTGGGCTCCACTTCAGTATTATTTCAATGAGAAATGCTTTTTCCCAATCAAAAATACTGAAGCTTTGCAGGAAGGTGCGGCTTAGTGATTAAGTCCCTTCCGCACACAGAAAATATTTCTGGATTACTGTAGTTGGCTGACAGTACAGTAGATTCCTGAATGAATTAGACAAATGAGTAATATATTTAGAGACGTGAAACATAAATATGCGTAATAATTTCAAAAATTCTGTAGTTCATACCAGTAGAATTTTTCTTGGTAAGACTAAAAGTAATTTTTAATTTACACAGGAAGGCAAATGGCATAGTTTAGGTCCCAAATTTTGCCTGATCTTAAAACCGTTGCAATCAGGTGAAAATGCCTCCTTGGCTTTCTAAATTGCGTCACTGATTCATCTCAGAAGAGACACCACCCACTCATTATTTAAAATAAGAGTGTTTTTACACGGCTTCGGTTGCAAAAACGGGGCATTCCTTCTGAAAAGAAAATGTGTATTAATTCAGAAAGCACATTCCAAGGCCGTGAATCCCGCCGGTGATACGGATACCAGACAAGGAAAGCAGGGAGGCAGCCCGGGGGGTCCACTGCGCCACCAGGAGCACCAGGGTGTGGTGGCCGGTGTCTGCCACGTGGAAAATGACAAAACCGTCAGAGGGAGGAATGAAACGTCCCAGCCTCTGCGATGGTGCTGGAAACAGCAGTTACAAAAATAAAAAAGCCAAGAACAAAAACAACAACCGAAAAAATTTCCCCAGAATATACCGAAATGAAATGTTTATTTTTAAAGGGCTTGACATTGTCACTCTAGATGGCATCGGGCTGTTTGTCAGGCTGCCACGCCAGCGTCCTTTAAAAAAGAACTGACCCCAGGGGTTAGACTGTTACAAGAGAACAGTTTTGACAATGTATTAATCGTGTCTTTGCCTTGTTCTTCGTGAAGAGTGGTTTTCCATCGGTCCCTCAGACAGCCGCACCTGGGGCAGTTACATTAAATTTAATGTGGTGCTTGGTGCAAATAACTACCTACGCAAAGTCTGTCTCGTTTTTACCCCGTGTGTATCTGCAGATAGTAGCTCGTGATCTAAAGTGAGATCTTGACATGCTAATTGCTTGCTTTTTTTTTGCTTTCTGAAGCTTTTTTTTACCTAGAATCCATTCAGGTGATGCTGAATGGTGTTCGTTATACTAGAATTTAATGAAAAGATAAACTATATTCATATTCAACTGAAAAGAGATGAGATAAGTCAGGGAAATTGCAGTAGTTTGCATGTATTTTATGAAGAAACAAAAAACCGAAATTGGTGTTTTATTGCAAGTCTTTGTCAGATAATGTGGATTAATTAATAAAATCTTTGTCTTGTAACACTGTAATCCAACCCCAGCTTTAAGCATATTTTAATTTCCATTAGTTCAATTTCCTATTGCCGAATATGCCATAATTTTTATCAGCTGTCATGACAATTCTACCAGTCTGTGCACAGAATCTGCTTCTTCATAGCTGCTGTAACAGAGATTCTTTATCACTGTTACTAAAGGTGCTTCAGTTGTCCAAGTTGGTTTGAATAAAGTTCTGCAAGCTAGTTTGTATGCAATATTTTATTGCTTGAAACGTTATATTAAAATTCCTCAAAAGGAAATAAAAACTAATTCAACAGGAACTTTTAAAGGATCGTAATAAGTTTGTAGTGTTTTTCCACTGGAATATGGTCTAAAATATTTGACCTTGTAAAGTCTGAGAAGTTATATATTTTAGGGTAATATGTTAGAACTCACACATTATATTATAAATACGTTCTAGTGTAACTGTATACCGTTCTTAAGCCTCAAGATATTTTATAGATGGATTAATTTTCTTCACTGGAATGACAATTGTGATTGTTTCTCTATTTGAGTTTAAAAAAAAAAATTCAAGTACTACATCTCAGCAGCTAAACAACAATTTTGTCTATGTTTTCTTGCTTCCAAAATTCACAGTCCTTGTCTCGGGTTACTTTCGTGTAATATAAAAAGAATTAAATTTTTTTAAATTATTTTTATTCAAATCAAGTATATGTAAGAGAAAAAAAAAAAGTCCTAATGTTTTTCCCAATAATAAACAATTGCTGCCTGAAAAAATGAGTTTTTCCGCTATGTTGTTGGTAATAAGCCATCTGGAGTCATCAGTGAAGTAATACTTGGTGGCGAAGGAATGCCAGGAGTGCACCTGAGCATTTAAATTGTGTCACAAAATAAAGTCCTGACA